ACGTATTCACGTGACTTTAATAACATTTCTTACTTAATGGAAACACCGCCGTTGTAAAACTGTGTTTTTCGACATTAACAGAACATCGACAAAGTTTTGCGCACATTTGCAATGGAAACACAGCTACTGTGATCGGAGTTGGACAAAGGTGGTTTGGCTGCACCTCTGTAAGCTTGTTTTGTACCCTAACATCTGTCCCATCTGAGAAACACAGACAATATCCAATCAGATCACAGAGAAATGCAGGAGTGAATCTTTACCTCATCATAGATGCTTTCAATTTCATTAAGTAAAGACTTGGATCGAAGCACTTTAGTGTCGTTCTGTTTGAAATTGATGCCTTGGTGGTCCAAAGATTTGAGGTAGTACTTCTCGTTCTGCTCCCTCCAGATCTTGTTGAAGCCTCGCTGTGCTTCTCGCCACTCCTCCTCTTTTGTTTTTAACCTGGTTGAAAAGGGAAGCCAAAGTCAAACGGTGCACTCACAACAATTTCAACAGACGTGTTGGTAAACGGTACAGTAAGAATATTCAAAAGGTTCAAAACGATAAAAAAGGGCCAAATTTTAGAGCGAATCAGTAAATGATGAAGGTTTTGCTTCTCTGCTCACCTTTTTAACACGATGGGGACGGACACAGCTGGGTTTTTCTTCAGCCCATCAATGATATCAGGAGCCTTGTCTCCATATATCCTTTGGATGGCTTTACGATGCACAACCTCCGAGGAGCCGCCCAGCATGTTGTCAAGGCGAAACTTGGCCTGCTCCTCCGCAGACATCCGGGACAGCTTCCGCTGCACCGTCTCCAGCACCCTGATGGTGGCCAAGTTGGTCTCAAGGACAAAGTCCAACTGTAGTAGAAAATCCAGGTGTCACTGAAGTCTTGAATACAGTCGGTGGAGTGACCCAGAACGTGTCACTCACCTCAAAGCGTTCATCTTCACAGCGGTAGATGTGCTCCTCGTACTGAGTCTTCTTGGAGCTGACAAACGTGGAGTCTTCAGACCAAGAGGGGAAGGAGACCCAGGTGTCGTTTAGAACCTGAATGTGGTGCAATCAAACAAAAGCAAACTGAAAACTCAAGACTTTAATAAAGAATTTAATGTCTGCTTTGAAAACATAAAAGAATAAGAATGGTTTTGTTCAACTGTTTCCTTGGGTCTTTTGACAGGATTAACTTTTCTTTTAATCGACGTATGTCATAAAAGTCAATCATGTAATTGCCGGTGCAAGTGAGAGTGTTAATCCGTCTCTGTTAGCACAATATCTAACAACCACTTATCAAAAATAATATATCAAATAGCTATTTCTCAAACATATCTAAATCATTTCTATTCTCTTTCATCTTAGGAAAGAAGTTAATGAAACTTCAACAAAATAACTTTAAACACACGGAGCTAAAATCGTGTGGTAGTAGCTGAGAGTCATCATCCACACCCTTTGATGCAAACAGATTTGCATTCAATCAAAAACAGTTTAGATATGTTTTTCAGGAAAAACAATGCTATGATCATTAAGCAACCATCACCAAAAATCTGAAAGACTGATGGCGATGCTTTGTTTAAAAAGTGAAAAAACTTGAGAATTTAGCTTCAAATGAGTGAGTTCATATATAAACTCATATAAATGTACATTTACCACAAAAGCTTGCCTTGTGCATGCTTCATCAGAATATTTATCTAACAGGCATAAGGATAATTAAAGTCCATCCATCCATAAACCCAACTGATGTTTAACAGTAAAACGTAATTATTTGTTGTCTTGTTTAAATAAATATTTAAGTCACCAGCAGTCTCAGTTATGCAGATAATATTTTTATTTTTTATAAAATATCATCATCGTATTTATTGGTATTTAGAAGTAGAGAGAACCATTCCACTAATTCATAGATTCTTAACCTATGGGCCGCGGCCCACAGCGCCACCTTGAGGGCCTCAAAAGAACAACAGTTTTTAACTTTGGGCCGCAGAGGGCCGTGAGACCACATTGATTTTGAATAAGGTGCAATACACTTTCTCACCACTAGTAGCAGTAGTGCACCACTCAGATGTTTAACAACTTTTTAATATGTAGAAGAAGAACCTTAGAAACCTGCCGAGAATGGAAACTTAGGCTGTGTCCAAAACGACAGGCCGGGTCCTCCGGAGGACCCAGACTCCCTGGTCTCGGCGGGCCGGGTCCTTGGTAGACCGGGAAGACCGGAAAAAAAGAGGCTGTGATTTTGGACGGTGTAGCCTCCGCTCGTTACC